TGGTATTGATGATGATGATGGTGAGGGTGGTGGTGATGGTGATGATGATGACGTGATTACAGTGGTGATGATGATGGTGGTATTGTTGATGACGATGGTGATAATGGTGGTGATGGTGATAATGGTGATAATGGTGGTGATGGTGGTGATGATGATGGTGGTGATGATGGTGGTGGTGATGATGATAATTATGGTATTGATTATCATAGTGAGGGTGATGGTGATGGTGATGTTGTGATTGACAGTGGTGATGATGATGATGGTGATGGTGATGATGATGACAATGATGGTGGTGATGGTGCTGATGATGGTAATGATGGTTTTGTTGATGGTGATAGTGATGATGGTGATGGTGATGATGATGGTGGCAATGGTGATGTGATGGTGATGGTGATGATGGTGACAGTGGTAATGATGGTGATGATGATGATGGTGATGTGATGGTGACAATGCTGACGGCATGAGTGTGGTCTTGACTGGTGCACACACAGAACCAGGGTTTAGGAGAGGTATATGAGCTGGAAATTTAATAATAGTAATCATCAGAAGATGAGTCATCCAGGGTAAGTATAGAAGGTGAGGCACAGAAAACAATAGATCAATTCTCTCTGAATAACTGGATATACTGAATATACTGAATATCTCTCTGAATATACTGGAAGTATAGACAGAGAAGAAAGTAACATGAGGTCAGAGGAGGAACGGCCAGAGAAGTTGAATTACAATGCACCCCATTGAGAGAGACACACTCAGAAAATTCTGAGAAGGGAGCATGAGTGGAGAAGCCTACCTGAGCTCGAGTCAGAAATGTGGAATATTCTATTTGAATTTGGCAATAAGACCCCACTGTTGACCTGAGTAACAAACACATTCTTTCCTTGGGCTAAGTTCATAATAGCTGGGCATTAATAAAATATTTACACTAGAAATTTATTGCTCTCTTTGAGGGCACAAATAGCATCTGGCTTATATCCCTTTCACCTGGCAAGTATTTGACAAGTAGTAGGTCTTTAATTTGTATGTTTTTTAGTGAAAAAAAATCAGATGGGCAATGCAGGGGCTGCTTCCTGAGTGACATGTCTTATGATTAGCTTTTCTATGCCTGAATATCATCCATTGTTGGTATAATAAGATTTTCTCTGGAACATTAAATTGGTTAAATTTTGTGTTCCTTGAGTCAAGACATTGCTTTGTAAAAATAAATATATATTCACTAAAGGAACATGTAGTGATAATTGATCCCTGACAGCAGTTGTGTTTCCAATTAACTGGATGAATGAAACTTGTTTGTGTGATAGCTGGATAAATTAGCATTCTGGCGTCTTTCTCTTTTCTCTTCTGTTCCCACCCTCTTCCCTCACCTCTCCTGCCTCCTTCTCCCTCTTTCTCAGAGCAGGGAATCTTTATCTTGGTTAGTGGGATTTAAAATGCTGATATTTCACTTCTGGGTCTCAAGAAACCCTAGAGCAATGATCAGGTTTTAGATAAATGAAATGTAGCAGATGTTCAAATCGGTTAAATATGCAGTGCATGAGGGTTTAATACAGGAAAATAAGGGACAAGAATATTATCCATGATGGACTGTGACAGTGAATTATAACACCCAATACAGACACGGCAACTGAACATTCGAAAGTGATCACGGGAAGGGCGTCTGAGGCGGGTCTCGGGGGGGGGGGGGGGGACAGAAAATGCAGGGCGTTTCTGTTCTGCTCCAAGGGGGAGGGGGCAGAACAGAGAAATCAAGGAAGAAGGGCCTCCATCTGCAGCACATTCCTCCTGACTCAGACCCTCAGCCACTGACCTTCTCTCTACTCCCGTCTCAGCCTCTGTCCCCAAACCGCTCAGCTTAAATGTCGTCTGTCATCTGTGTCCTCCTTGGCTCTCTCAGCCCTCTTCCCTGCACACAAATCTGCTTGGCCCAACCTCCCTGTGTCTTCGATCCTGTTCTCAGGACCCTGAACACGGGTGGAGAAAACCACCCCAGCCCGACCAGCCTTCAGGTTCCTGGGCAAACATCTCCGGAGCCTGCGGCGGCGTCCCCGCGGGGAATGGGTGTGGCCTCTGGCCTCCCAGAGGACCTTCTCTCTCTCCCCACCCCTGCAGACGCTCATGCCCCTCTCCACGCTTCCCCTTCACAGAAGAAACAAAGCCCTTGCCCCTGTAGCCTTGCGCTCTACCCACCTTGCTGCAGTGGGGAAGTTCTCACCACGCGCGAGCGAATCAATCCCTTCAAGCTACCCTAGGACCGTCCTCCACCCAGCACCCCTTCTATTTTCCGTCATTATGTTTTCTCGTTATCGGATAATCTCCATCCACAAACTTAAATAATTTTCCTTGTCTTTAAGATGAAAACTTGATGACACACACCTCTGCAACTACGCCCCAGTCTTCTGAAGAATGATGTATTTGCTCTGCCTCTCACCTCTTCCTTCCTCTCCTCCATTTTCTCATCTACTCAGGCCTCCACACTCCCTGAAACTGCCCTTCACTCCCACAAAAGGCCCGGTGGTAGAAAATCCAATGGAGAATTTTTAATCTTTATTTCACTGTGCACATCAACCGCATTGGACCCCATGTGCCAGTCTGTCCTGTTTGAGCAATTCTGTCACTTGCCTCCAGGACCAGCCATCCTGGACCTGCTCCCTCTTCACAGGCAGTTCCAGCTTCCTCCCAGCCTCACCCTCCCTAGTGCCGCCTCTTGGGGTGGGTGTGGCACAGGCTGGACCTAAGACTCTCTTCTCTCTCCAAACCCTGGGGTGGTGTCCCATAGCCTTCCAGGTCCCAGGGTGGTGTCCCATGGCCCTCCAGGTCCCCCGGGATGGTGTCCCATGGCCCTCCAGGTCCCCCGGGGTGGTGTCCCATGGCCCTCCAGGTCCCCCAGCGTGGTGTCCCATGGCCCTCCAGGTCCTCCGGGGTGGTGTCCCATGGCTCTCCAGGTCCCCCGGGGTACTGTCCCATGACCTTCCAGGTCCCCCGGGGTGGTGTCCCATGGCCCTCCAGGTCCCCCAGGGTGGTGTCCCATGGCTCTCCAGGTCCCCCGGGGTGGTGTCCCATGGCCCTCCAGGTCCCCCAGGGTGGTGTCCCATGGCCCTCCAGGTCCCCCGGGGTGGTGTCCCATAGCTTTCCAGGTCCCCTGGGGTGGTGTCCCATGGCCTTCCAGGTCCCCCGGGGTGGTGTCCCATGGCCTTCCAGGTCCCCCGGGGGTGGTGTCCCATGGCCCTCCAGGTCCCCCGGGGTGGTGTCCCATGGCCCTCCAGGTCCCCCGGGGTGGTGTCCCATGGCCGTCCAGGTCCCCCGGGGTGGTGTCCCATGGCCCTCCAGGTCCCCCGGGGTGGTGTCCCATGGCCCTCCAGGTCCCCTGGTGTGGTGTCCCATGGCCGTCCAGGTCCCCCGGGGTGGTGTCCCATGGCCCTCCAGGTCCCCTGGGGTGGTGTCCCATAGCCTTCCAGGTCTACCTGAGTGCTGAGGGCTGCAAAATCAGGCCTGTAGCCGGCCTCCCAAGGCATGGAGGTCGCCCGGCCCATCAACTCCGCACACAGGCTGAAACTGACCTTGGACATCAAGCTACCACCTCTCCCTCAACATCTCTCAGGTCGCACCCCTGACCCTGACTGTTCCCACAGCCTTTCCATCCTAAAAATGTGCCTGAAATGCTGCCCTGTACGTGTTCTTCTCCCCTTCCTGATTTACATTCCGCATGATCACTTTATCACTATTTAGCATTCACACGTTTTCACTCATTTAGCATGTTTTTGTCTGTCTTCTCAAGGAGAGCAGGAATTTGTGTCTTTGTTCACTTAGGGGTATTTCTGAAAGAGAGGTGCCTGGTACAGAATATTCACTCAATAAATATTTCTTGGGGTAATGAATTCATGGGAAATGCCTGATAAATTAGTGTCGCAGGACTGAGGCAGCACCGCAGGGCAGGTGGCCCCAACTTACATTCAGAAAGGGGACGGAGGACAGGGCCAGGGCCAGAGGGTTTCTGAGAGACAACTTTAGCGTTTGCTAACTATTCAGCAATTCTGTAAGTTGACTTTAGATTTTTAGTAGGAAGCAGAGCACAGATAAGCATCTTTTTGATGGGGTGGGGAGCCTAGTTTTAACAAGAGGTAATGACTAACGGTGACAAGCATACCCAGGGTCACTGATGCTCCCAAGGTGGCCCGTCTGAGTATGTGTTTGATGAGGGAAGACCTACTCCACTGCAGTCTGGGGGTTTTCTCACTTCTTCTCATCACTAATTCTGTTTTACAACGTTTGACATTTCCACAGAGTAATTACATCTTTTCATTGAACCCCCACCCTCCTTGGGTGGAGGGTCATTGTGCTTTCTCAGGGAGCCTCAATTCCTTCCTGCACCCAAGCTGGCATTTCATAAGTAAGCAGGTCCAAAAACTGAGTTGTCAGTAAGTTTGTCTGAGGACACAAAATAAGCAAAGATTTGGCAGGAAGCTTCACACTCAAAGCCACGATGTTGTTCATGAGTTCAGGCCCTGGTTTCAATGAGAACTTGGCCCTGCGTTCGGGACTGCTGTTCCCTCCAGCTCTGGTCTCTGGAGAACACAGTTCGGTGCTTAGCTCCATGCTGTGGGCATGTGGCTGCTTTGAAAGTGCTTTCTAATGAGGACTTACTAAGAAAACTGCTCATCTGTTTCTTTAACAAGGCTGGACATTCCTCAGAGATGCTTTCTTCTGTTTGTTTGGTTTTTTTTTTTTGTTCTTGGAAATAGAAAAATAGCCAAACATCTGGGCACCAAATGCCCAGAGTCTCTCAGGGGGTCCACAGGATGGCTGCTCTGTGACATGAACAGGTTGCCAGCTCATTTGCTTGGCCCAGGCTCTGTACGTCACCCTCGACTCCGTGGTGACCCCACCCCCTGGTGAAGCATCTGCTTGCAGAGGGGCCACGGGAGTAGGTGCCCGGCTGCGCCGTGTGCCACCCACGTGCGTGTGGCTTGAAACAGTTTCGTGAGGCAGGTCCTCCGATCCACGGGGCCTGCTGTCCGTCTGAGGACTCGGATCCAGGCTGGGCCCAACCTGACAGCTGCGTAGGGAAGACTCCCAGGTCTGTCTCCCTGGAGCCCGGTCATTGGGTCGCGACTGCAGTGTGCTGGCACGCCGTCCGTGAGAAGGACAATCGGGACGCCCTGCAGGGCCGTTGGAGAAGGTGTCAGGCCGAGGCTGATCCCCTCAGCAGACTTCCTGAGACCCAGGTGCGTTGGCACAGGTTTCAGAGAAGATTTCTACGGGACAAGCGGCAGCTGTTCAAACTGTGAACGTGTGGAGACGAGCCGTAGATAACTCGGCTACACATTCATTTTCTGCTAAATAACTAATCATACTGAGGGGAGCGCATGTGTGTGTCCGTGTGAGCGGGCCTGCACGTGAATGTGGGTGTGAGCGGGACCGCATGTGTGCGTGGGTGTGAGTGTGCATGCACGTGGGTGTGAGCGGGCCTGCATGTGAGTGTGAGTGTCAGTGTGCCTGCATGTGAGCACGGGTGTGAGCAGGCCTGCATGTGAGCGTAGGTGTAAGCGGGCCTGCATGTGGGTGTGGGTGTGGACGTGCCTGCATGCCGGCCGGCGCCTGCTCACATGTCTGCACCCGTGCGTTCACGCGTGTGAACAAAGCCCCGGGTAGATATTACGGGCAAAAGCAAAGGCTCATCATTACAAAGCAAAGGCTGGGAACTGGTAAGAACCGGCGCGTGTCCCAGAGCCCGCATGTCATCAGGAGCGTGCGGCTCGTTGGCGGAGCATCGGGCCATGCCCTACCTGCGACCCCGCGTTCGCCAGGGCGGCCCGGGAGGGGCCCGGCCGAGGGCGGCAGAGGTGACGGCAGAGCCCGGCCCCCGGTTAGGGGGCTCCCTTACCCCCTGCCCCGAGCTACTTTGTCTGCAGACTGCAAACTCCGACATCCCCGCTTGTGACCGTCCCCAGAAACCAGGAAGATAGTGTGAGGATCACCTGGCTCAGAAGTACACCTTGTCAGCGGGGCATTCCATGGCTGGAAGTGTCACGGGCAGAGGCTGTTCCTCCACCCCTCTCCGCCCCAAGGTGTTGGGCACATCGCTAGCGGCCCGAGCCTGGCCCCCGTGTCCCGGCCGGCGCTTCGGTGAGGCTCCGAGCACACGCGCTCGGCTCCCCAGCCGCCACCCTTGCTCATCTCCGCCCGCCACCGCCCCCTCTGTGCCCTCGGTGGGTCTCGTGGCAGGGTCGCAGCCGCTTTGTCACCCCGCCGCAGCCGGGCCCGTGGGCCTGATAGGCTCCCGGCGGCATTTAAAGCAGGCGGCGCGGGGGTCGTCACGGGCCCGCGGCTCTACGGCCTCGCCTCCATCCTGTGCCCACAAAGACCTGCGTGTCCCCTCCCGTCGGCCCCTCGCCCTGACAGCGATGCTACTACTTCCCCTTCGTAGCTGGGGTTGCGGCCGCAGGCCACTCCCGAGGGCGCTCCGCTCCCGTCACCGCGGCCCGAATCGGCCTCCTCCTTCCAAAGCGACAGCGGAAGCCTCCTGGCGAGGAGACCCCCGCGAGCGAGCGAGCAGTCGTGCCCCCAGCGCTCGGCGAACGCGTCCCCCGTGTTCAGTCCTAATTCCAGGTCCTGGGAACGCGGAGCAGTGGCCCAAGCGGGGCTCGAACTCAAGAACTGACCGTCTGTGGAAGTAAGGCCGGCGCCTTCTTACACGTCCTTACTACACTTTCAACATCGTGGAAAGGAGACGATCCCAGCGTCCCCGGGAAAGTCCCCGGGACCTGCCACGGCACAGCCACGCAGGACTGCCGGGCCACCTTGCAGCACGTTTCACTCGAGCAGAACCTGAAATTGGAAAAACCCACTTGGGCCACAGTGACCCGTGCCGCCTCACAATCGTCTGCCCTGATAAACCGGAAGTGTATCCCTACTGCAGAAGACCGTTCCTGGGCTCCAGAGTCGGGAGATTTCTGCTCTCACCAGGCAAGGCATCTCAAAGGGCTGGAGAAATTCATAGAGCCCCCTGTTTCCCAAAACTCATTCCTCCTTTGTCTGTAGCCTGAAAACTGAATAACCAAGAAGTGATTCTGATCTGTTGAGGGTGCATGAAACATGGGGCATGCGCCATAGATGACAAGCACCCGCGTCTGAACAAGGGCAGGGAGTCCACTCAGGAGTCCAGCTCTCCGGATATTTTTCAAGAATCCAAACACATCACACATCGCTCCCTGGCCAGACTTTCCCAGTGTTCCTGGTGATGGGATCGAGGCCTTCTTTGTAGAAGGAACCAATCTGGGGGCGCCTGGGTGGCTCGGTGGGTTAAGCCTCTGACTTCGACTCAGGTCATGACCTCCTAGTTCATGAGTTCGAGCCCCACGTGGTGCTCTGTGCCGACGGCTCAGAGCCTGGAGCCTGCGTCCGATTCTGTGTCTCCCTCTCTTTCTGCCCCTCCCCTGTTCATTCTGTCTCTCTCTCAAAGAAATAAATAAACATTAAAAACATTAAAAAAAAAAAAAAAAGGAACTAATCTGATGATCAACCATGTTCCTAAGGTCATGGAACATTTTGCATCTGCACTGAACACCCCTCCCTCAGCCCACGGGTACTTGGGAGACCCTCCTCCCTGCCCTCAGAGGCTGGCGAAGACACTATTTCCTGGTTGAACTCGGTTGGCAGAGCAGCATTCTGACACTTGCCCTTCCCAAATCCTAGAAGTCACAGAGGTTTGGACATAGACGTAGGGAGGGTGGGTCACCTTTGGGAGCAATATCTAGTGTGCAACAAATGCAAATTCTCCCTCCTGCATTTGGAATAAAGCCTACGGATCGGTCATGACTCGGGGTCTGTTGTCCATGTGAGACCCCATAAGGCGTGCTCATCCCCAGAGCACCAGGGGTCTGCAGTCTACTGTCTGTGCCTGGCCTTAAACACGGCAGCTCTACTCTAGTATCCTTGGGACACAGCCCCGAGGAGCAAAAGGGAGTTTACAAGTGTGGACTTGTGTCTGTGTGTGGGTATCTCTGTGTGTGCAGGGTGTCTGTGCACCTGTGCGTCTCTGCACATGCACGTGTGTGTTCGTTGGTGGCGGAGGAGTTGGGCACAGTCCTCAGAGAAACAGAAAAGGGTCTGGCTGACCTCTCATGGTTCCTCACTTTGTTGTGATTCATTGTTCTGAGGTTTCTGTAGAAGTAAACGCCACAGGTACAGGGCCATCTCGATACTCGGTAAGCACTCTGATTATTCAGGCACTTGCAAAATGCTCGCCCTTGTTTTGCTCCGGTTCTCATTAGCAAAATCACAGAATTTGTTATTCTTTCTCTGTGCTTTGGACGTGTATTCAGAATGCCAGAAGGAAATCAAAGTGTCCGGAGCTGAAACATTCTAAATAGCTAATTCGTTTT